ATAAAGTTGGGAAACTGGTCACCCCTGTAAACCAGCTCCCATAAATTAGTACTACAGTATAATACTAAACTAWCAAGTTGAACATGGTTTGTGTCAGCAGACTAAATATATTGAGTTGTAATACTAGAGAACAGTACATGTTAGCAATGGTCATATAAGGTCAACAAATTGACTTAGAAATTATGAGTCAAGAGAAAATACATTGATCAACCCTGTAAATCAGAATTAGCCATCTGACCCTGGACTCAGTTGTTCATAGATGGAATACGAATGTATTTTGTAAAGGCATTTGACTGCCAACGACCTAATATTCTGATCTGGGCATCCGAAAGCCCTTTACTAGCTGCATGTGAAGCTGCTCCAATCCTGAAGCTATGACCTTTGTATAAAGACGAGTCTAATCCACAATAACAAATAGCAGTCTTTAAAAAGTTATCAAAAACTGAGCGTGGAATAGCTTCACCGCAAGGGAGAACAAACAATGGACCTGGTTTACTGYCCCGTAAAGTTAAATAGTTCAGTAACATYWCAACAGGACARTRTGATGTCTGSCGGTTAATAGTAATAGAGAAGGGGCGCCTATTGTAGTTATGTTTGAAATCCTTAAAGGTTAATCTAATAGAGGAAACATGACTACCCTCGCCTTCAAATGTTAATTGGTCAAACTGAATGGGCGGGGAAGAGCCYAATMTCTGCTCCGTGATCTCTCCGACCCTGAGGAGTGCATAAAAAGCAAGGGCACACATTGCGCGGAATAAAGACTTGTGAAACTCAGTACATGAGAGTTTTGCAGCAGAATCTAGCAGTCTGCCTAAAATYTCAAGAGTTATAGGAAGCCTGGTGTCAATGCGAGCCCCCTGCTTTTTATAGCCCTTAAGCATTTGYGTTATGAAAAATGACTTTGAGGGGTCAGAGAGATTACCTAGTTTATGCATATAAGCAAGCGAAGAAACATATGTATTCACAGTGGATGCAGCATAGTTGTTTTTGTACAAGTADCTGATAAAAAGTGCAAGTACAGAARGTGATATGGGCAAGCAGACACAGGCTTGATTGAAAACTGAGTGTGAGAACTGCTGGAATAACTTCCATGAACGCTTGTATGTTGGAATAGAGGATGGCTGCAAACTATTAGATAASAAMTTTAGAATGATAGGTTCCAATTCTGAGGCAGCAGGGATTGAGGAATTGGAGTGGGCATAGGGTCCATATTTGCTGGGGCCAGCTGTTTGAAGGTGTGTACCTGTAATCGAGACAATGCATCAGCTAGCGAATTCTTAACACCAGGTATATGTTTCGCCCTAAAAACAATGTTGTGCCGTAAACAGGAAAGCACAAGCTGCCTGACAAATTGCATAAGTRTCTTATCTTTACATGTTTGCTTATTGATAACATGTACTAAGGCTAAATTGTCAGTAAAGAAAATAATCTTTTTATTGGACATATATTGGCCCCAGAGGTGAATACTGAGAACAATAGGGTAAAATTCAAGCACAGCAATATTGCGGTTAGCCCATAAGTTGGGCCACCTTCCATAACACCAATGGGTACCGAATAAAGCCCMAAAGCCTATAGCCCCAGAAGCATCAGTGTACAACTCAAGTTTGTTAGATGAAAGCCAAGCATCGTCGAAGAAGAAGGAAGTACCATTGAAATCTTCCAGGAATGACTGCCAGAGCTTTAGATCCTC